GGGGGGAGAAACGGCGCGTTGTCCGCCCGGCGCCTGACCCGATTATGCCGGAGGAGGAGGGGGAGATTCGGGATAGCGAGGACGAGATTGAGGACGACGGCGAGGACGACGATGAGCGTGGGGATGTGGAGAGTGACGAGGAGCTCCTGATGGGCGGCGAGGTGGATGCGGATTAGGCGGCGGGCAGCAGGGAGGGCCAGTTTTGGAGGGCCACCTTTTGCTACGTGGTGGGCACGTGGTCGCGAAACGCGCGTGACCCCGTATATTATAATAATTTAATTCATTGCCGCTTTTCCTGGGCTTCCGAGGGCTTGCCGTGATGCCGAGTGGTATAAGAAATGCCGGAGAAGCGGCAGTGGGACCAGGCGCAGGCCCGCAGTGGCCCGCAGTGGCCCGAAATGGCCCGAAATGGTCAGCCCGCATAAAACGCATTGAGCCTGCGGTATGTTTACCGGGTAAAACGCGTTTATGGAGCCTTATGAGGTGCGCGCCCTCCTTGGTCGTCCGCGCGCTCCCAATCCCCTTGTTTTTCCCGCCCTCCTCGTCGGCTGTGTCGTCGTGTTGCCCGTCTCCACCTTCGGCCTCCCGCACGCCGCGCACCGTAGGCACCCATCGTGTGCATCTGTACAAGGTCGCCGAGCACGCGCATCAGGCGCAGCGCACGGAGATGCTGATTCATGATGAGGAGCAGACTGTCGGCTCCGCGGCGTAGACGCAGGATCCCCCGCCGTTGGAGTCGCATACGGCGTCGCCGTCGCCATCGGCCTCCCCCTCGTCCCCCTCCTTCTCACCCTCCCTCCCCGCATGTTCACTGGCAGGATCCGGATCCGCACACGTGTACGACGTCTCCTCCCTCGCGAGCGGCGCGTTCGTGAAGGGGGGGGTGAAGGTGGAGCGAGTCGTATTCGAGCTCATACGCCACGACACATGTCTCTCCGTCCGAGTCTGACGGACTTTAGAAGGCATATTTGAAGAGCGTCATCGTCGAAAATGTCGGGAAGCTAAAGAGTGGAAAGCTAGTGTCGGGGCTCGACCCAAGCATGCTTAGTGGGTTTGTGTGCCGCGATGAGGCGGAGTGGGTGGATTTGCGAAGGAGAGTGGGCAAGGTGCGTTCTTTCTTCTTTCACTTCTTTTTGCTCGTTTTCCTTCCTTGATGTCATCCCTCCACGTCGTCTGCGTTCCCCGCATTCCGCCTTCACTCTTCCCCTAATCTGCGTGTACTGATCTACCTCCGCAGCTCCCGCGCACAATCTTTGGGATCCAGGACCAGCCCCCGACATGGCCCGGCGCGGACGATGACAATATGGGGCTCGAGAGCGTCTCGGATCCGGAGGATGTGGAGGACGTAGTCGACGATGGCAACCTGTTGAGCACGTCACACACCGTGTCGACATCTTCGCATGGGATCTCACGTCGCGGCGTCGGCCTTCTCCCATACCCACGTGCACTCCAACTCGTCCAATTCCACCTCCACGAGCAGCAGCGCGCGCAGCAAAGAGGTCGACACGGAGGAGGACGCGGTGGCACCTACCACCTGGCACATGCGCCAGATGCGCGCCGTCCTCCCCGCGTTCCGTAACGTCGTGGCGCGTTGTCGTCAAGTGCGCGCGAGGGCAGCGGCGGAGCCTGCCATGTGTGCCATGCGCATGGAATGTGGTCCACGAGGTGCGGGAGGAAGAGGGGTCGATTGGACGGAGCAGAGGCGGTGACAGTGCAGAGGCAGAGCGGGACAGGGAGAGCAGCACCGCACGGAGGGGAGCAATGACTCGAGCGAAGGGACTGAGCGGGACCCCGAACCCACAGATGCCGTTCTCGTCGTCGGCGTGTTGGCATTGGCGTCCAGAGCGGGGGCGGGGGCACGGTGGAGAACGCCGATCAAGCGCCTGGTGCACCAGTTGCGGGGCTGGGTACGGAGTGCCTGAACAACATCGTCCTTGCCCTTGCGTGCTGCGGGCCTGCGGACGTCGCCGGCGTGTGTGCGGTGCGGGACGCCATGTGGGCTGCACCAAGTGTGGTGGCACGTAAACAGGGCTCAGGCAGGAGTGGCGGCATGCAGGCTGAAGTCGGGCTTGAGCTGGACAATGCATACAGTAGTCAGTAGGTCAAGTTTGAGAAGTGGAACGTTGTCAAGGCACAGAGCAGAGTAGGAGTTGATGCCATATCTAGAGCCAAGCTGAATTGTTGGATCTATGCTGGGAGGCCATAAAAAGATCTTAGTTGGCGAGAACTTGGTGCATATTGAGGTACTATAGTGCACTATGCCTAGGAATAATTTCCTGTTCAAGTAACTTAGAAGCACCTATTTATTTCCTTTTCTAGATTGTTTGGTTCAAAATCTGCGGACCATCTGCGGGGTCCGCAGATTTTGAATCTGCGGACCCCGCAGATGGTCCGCAGATGCTACGGAGATTATGGATCTGCGGGTTATCTCCGGGCCCCGGAGATAACCCGGAGATAATCAGATTATTTTGAATATTCCGGCCATCTGCGGGCCCCGTAGATGGCCGGAATATTTGGTGCAGATAATTGATCTCCGTCGGATCTCCGGCCTATCTGCGGGGCCCGGAGATCATAGCCTGCCCCCAGTGTCTCCGCGGGCAGCACGAGCGGTTATGACGGCGGCGGCGGCGGCGGGGGCGACAGGCCTGCCTTCCCGCCCTACTTCTCCTCATCCGCGTCGTGGGCGTTGTTCTCGAAAGCCGCCGACGCTCAGCTCGCGGTCGGAATGCCTCCCCCCGGCCCACACGCTGTCCCCGCCCCACTTCTCCGCACCCCACGCACCCGGTGCACCACTTCACCGGCCGTTGGGGATCGTTGGCGTTGTTTTGGAATGTCGCTGACGCTCAGCTCGCGGTCGGCAATGTCCGGAGCGGGGTATAAAAGGCGGCCGTCGGGCGCCTAACGGCTTTTCTCTCTTGAACTGCAACCACCACCACCACCACATGGCGACTCCTAACCACCCCCGAATCGCACACATTCTCAACTCGCCGCCTTCGCCCTCCGACGCCCCTGGGTGTCTCTACGCCTTTCGAATCTTCGGCAACCAACCTCTCCGGCGCTTCGGGCGGCCCCAAGATTCCCCCGCGCTAAAATCAAGATCGGCCGCGCGAAGAATCCGCAACGGCGCCGCAGGGAGTGGGCCCGCCAGTGCCGCGGACAGCTAGTGAAGTGGTGGTTTTATTGGGACGTGCCCTTTGCCAAGAAATTCGGTGAGTCTTGGGTTTTTTTTTCTTCGTTTGTAACACTGCTTCAGAGCGCCTCATCCACACCCATTTTCGGGTCCACGGCGCATGGGTTGGTCCCTCCTCTTGCGGGTTTTGTCCGGTCCGCCATCAGGAGCAATTTATTATGCGTGCTGCGGCGGGAAGCGGGGGGTTATTCTGGTAGTGGAGGGATATCTGACGATCTTGGGGTGGCCGAGCGTGAGGTAAGTCTTCCTTTGCTTTTTTCTTTTGGCTTGAATGCTGATTATTTTTTTCTAGAACTACAGTACGGTAGATAGGGTTCGGATGTTCTGTGCCGAGTCATGTCTGACTTGGATTTGAAGCTACTCTGGAGACTTTGCGTGGGGCTTGGTACAGCACCTCAAAGTAAGTCTTTTCTTCATTCTTCAAGAAGCGAGACATCAGGTTCTAAGTTCCGCGCCAGGTCTCCGAACAAGGATGGCGCCTCGAGTGGTGCGTGTAGTTTTCACTCGGGCTGAAGTAAGTGACATCTCAGATGACTACCTTTTGATTTATACTGATGTTTCGTTCGACATCCAGTATTACAACGCACGGGATTTGCAATTGTCCCTCTCTTATTACATTAACGGTAGGCCACACCTCCTTCAGCGTGCGGATTCCCTCGCGCAGAGGTGGGTTCCGCGGCTACTACCGAAGGCATTTATACCTGTTTGTTTCGCCCGAAGCATGTCTGAACTAATTTTGCCAGATTTCGGCGGGCTCACCTTCGATGCCCGAAACGACGCGCATTCTGCGTGTTTTGAATACCACCGATATCATTTCCGGGCCATACCCATTTCCCGCTCGTGTTGCGTCACATCCCCTCCATTGTCGAGGTTGTTTTCTAAGGGTCCTCGAGTCGCAGATTAATCCATAGGCCATTCGGGGTATGGATTGTTCCACTAGGTACCGCTCACCCATCGGTTTTGTCGTCCCCTAGTATCGCTTGATCTGCCGCTCCTGCGTCATCCAAAGTACAAACATGCTGCATTTCCCCCGGTTCATCCTCCCTCCACCTGGTGTAACTATACTAAATTCATTGGCGCACCTCAGCGCAAATGAAGGGCCTCCTAATTGCCCAGCGCCTTAGGATTTCCGACCTCAATCCGTCCCATTGAAGCTTTCAACTCAGTGAGTCATCTCCCCCATTTTTTTTTTTTTGCGTCTAATCCCTTCAAAGAGCCCTTCCTCGACATGTTCCCCCGAGTTTCTGTGCACAGCCGGCACGATCGTGCGCCCCAACTGCTCGACGTCGCCGTGCTGAGGTATCGGATCCGAGGTGCCGACTGGGTCATTTCTGTTTGTCTAACCTTTTTAGGGCCCTCTTTTTTTGACATACTCCTTCGAGTTCCACCGCCTCCAAGGAACGCCCGCGCGTCCCAATCGTCCGGCGCGTGTGCATTTTCGATCGCAACGCTAGATGTACTTAGATCTTGTAAATATTGTACTGGCGCATTAGGGACATATTAGATTTACCGAACACCTGTTGTAACTACGCCGTCGGCATCAACATTTGCAGTCGCCACAATCATTAATGATGCGCACCTCGAACTCGCCGGGACTGCGGTAAGTTTCCGATTTTTGCACTCGGAAGACTCGGACTAACCCATTTTCTGATATTTTTTCTTACTTCCTTGACGTGGCGGCACTCCGCGCGTAATTAGACCCGATGGATGTAACTTAAATCAATTGGGACACTGGAGCGTATTTAACAAAAAATAAAAGTCCTAGTGGAATCAGGGCGTGGAATATGGTATCAAGGCGCCATGCATTCAAGTCCCATTAGCACAGTGGTAGTGCCGCCGGGTACATGTTCGAGATGTATATCCCAACAAAAATGTTTCCACGGTGATCGTCGGTTCGAGCCCGGCATGGGATTTCGTTTTTCATTTCATTTGAAGACATTCAGCGATAAGATCAATGAGCCGATAACATTCGATAGGTAGTCGGACCGAGCCCCGAGAGCTGCGCAACATCACTGTTGTTGTTTGTTCCGGGCGCCTATTTTGCTCTTGATCTGTAACCACCACCATCCAATGGCCGTATATAGTAATTGATCCTGTGGTACACATTATTATATACCGATAGACCTGTACTTGTTACTTCTTACACATTGAATGGCGCTGATCCTTTACTTACAAGTGTGGATCGAAAAACATGATGTGCACGTGGGTGGCAGAGAGCAATCTGCGAGCGCCGCTCTAGTAGGCGGTTCCGACCCTGGAACTGCCTAAGAAGCGAGCCCCAGCTCTCTGCGTCGCTGCTTTGCAGAGCGTGACGCGAGACCCCTGGAGAGCTGTAGTGCCGACGCAGACGCCGACATCTACGCGAACACCGTCCAAGACAATTTTACTTACATATTTGTATATCTTGTAAGTACATACTTATCATCTCCTGCCTCTTTGAGATTTATTCTGATGTCTTTTCAGGTCTCTTCCCTCCAGACACCAATGCAGGCAATGCATGTATCGTACTTTCGACCTCAGGGCACATGGTCTCGGTTTTCGACCTGTTGAGGCGCATCTTACGTCTCCTGGATTCCCTCCGCTCTTCGATTCCGACCACCACGGCGCTCATGCGTCTTGATGGTTGGGTGGCCGACGGGTGCGGGAGCTGTGCTCACATAAATACTTATACAATTATGATGGACTGTATGTACTAGAACTCGAGAGGGAGGCACGCTATATATAACAGGTCGTCAGTGGATGGCAGGGATGAAAAAGGCGGATCAACGAGACTGCAGCGGGGGCAAGCACTAGCCATCCATGAAACCTGGCGCACAAACGCCGACATCCTGCTCGCGGACATGCCTCCGTGTCCCTCGAGCAACTCTCGAGCATGTGCAGGAGGACCAGGATATTGGCGCAACCGACCACGGGATCTCAGTCGATTATCCACTGGCATGTGTACACCAACCAGCCTGCGCCGGGCTTCCGAGAGAAACCGTTTTGAGGCTAAAATACATTTTTTGAGTGGGTGTCTCCTTTTGCCCCGCCACTTTCGTCTAATTATACATAATCCCTGTGCAGACGAGTTCTGGGATCGTCCCTTTAATACAATACCTTGCATCGCCGAAGCGGCAGTGACTCCATTTCCGTCGCAAGGTAAGAGATCGCAGTGATCAACTTGGTGCGTCGCACCTCCACCTCCACTGCTTTTCTTCTTCGCTTGGTCTAATCCTTTCGCAGACACTTTCCTGACATTCTGTCCGCCGCCGATGTACTTCCATTTTGTAACTCTTATACTAGCGCACTCGGGCATAACTAGATTCACTGACACTCTCTTGTAACTACGTCGTCGGCATCAACACTTGCCTCTGAAATAACCACCAGTGGCCCGGTATGCATGACCTTCCGCCTCCGTGCACTCTTTGGAGGTGAACTCGCACGACTGGGGTGAGTTTCGACTTGCACTCGAAGGGCTCGTACTAACCCATTTTTCGTAGTTTCGTCCTACCTTCTCTTCCTGACGTTTCCCCCGCATGCGTACCCGCCCCCGCTTGTGCAAAAAGACGTACCCGCAACCATTATTGACGCGGACGTCGAACTCGCACCGACTGCGGTAAGTTTCCGATTTTTGCACTCGGAAGACCCGGACTAACCTATTTTCTGGTACGTCGCCAAGAGCGAATTCATTTCTACGCAGAAAACCTACCTACATCCACATTTGAGTTTGTTACCGTATGGATGTAGAGACGCCCTAGTCATTATTCATATTCATTTTAAATCCACAGCCTGGCTGTCAGATTGCAGCCTCACCACCCTAGAAACCCCGCTCGGGAAGTTGTCAAAACTATGCTCGGATCAGACATACCGGTATGTCTGTTTAATATCATCCATCTACATCTAACTGACTCGTTTGTTGTCGTGTAGGTCGCACATATGTGTGTGTCAATGTCGAGTGAGTGTAACAATGCATGATGACTTTCTACTGATTAGCTTACTCTGCATTGAACATGTCGTACCCTTTGCTTCATTTGATGTGTAACTCGACGCACTTATCTTTGAGCACCATGCTAACCGTCCATCGAGTCCTTTCTTGAGTTCAATCACGTTCGAACCATGCGGCAATATTTCCCTGGGTGAGAGTTCAATCTCTTTTTTTTAATCACTTACTGACTCAGCTAGGTCTGGTCTGGCCTCGGACAACGCTTATTCATTGTACGTGTTGACGTTGGTTCATTTGATATTTTATCTGCACAAATACGTGTTTTATCGCGTCAACGCGTTACTCCAATCAGTCCGAGGGACTTGAAATGAATTTATCAAGGGATCTCGAAGCCGCACCTGAATCCTTCCAAATAAGTGGTGGTCATCCCTAACCTTCTTTTTCATTAGAACCCTTCCTTTCTTCTCTGTGATACGTTAGTTTAGCACTTCTTGATCCTTCCTTTCTTCTCTGTTTCTCTTCCTCGAGTTCACCCTCACCTTTTCTCTCCATTCTAAATAATAACACGTTTGTTAATTTCCTCAACGGCACGACGATGCGCCTTATTCGCTTATATCCTGACGATTCCATCGATTTTCCTTCAGTAAGTCCTAACGCTTTGCTCCCTGCATATTCAAGATCACTTGTAAATAATTTGTACTCGTGCACACCGCGTAATTAGACTTACTGACTAACTATAGTAGATAGATTGGCTGGAATGCATATTTTTTAAAAAAAAATTCCTAGTGGGCAGGGGCCTGTATTTAGACTATTAGGACTTTGAGTAGAAGTGTCTCATTTGCACAGCGGTCGTGCCGCCGGTTAATGTGGCGCCTACTTGAAATCTTATCCCGGCGTTGGCCGGTTCGAATCCGGCATGGGACTGTTTTTTGCTTGCGTCACTCTCTTCTTCAATGAAGAGAAGCGATAAGATTACTTAGATGTATGGTCAGACCGGCCCCCGAGACTTGCGCAACATCATTGTTGTTGTTTGTTACGGGCGCCTATTTTGCTCTTGATCTGTAACCACCACCACCGCAAGGTCGAATATAGTAATATTCCCTACGGTGGTGTCGCGATCGCTGGCCATGGCCTGCGCAAGACGATGTGCGTATGCTCGGCGGGGTAGGCTGTCGTCGGGCTTGGGCCGCGCAAGTCGATGTGCGCGCCTCTGGTAAGCAGGTCGGATGTTTTTCATTGAATACTATTCTGTACAAATGTATCGTATCGCGTTGCTGAAATGAATACCGAAGTAAGTGCTCCGGAACAACCGCTGGCCCAAACCCGTCGCGCCTCCCAATCGCCCGGCGTAGGTGCTTTTTCGATCGCAACGCCCCGGATCTCCGTTTTTAATTTGGTGAGTTCCCACTCCCTCATTTCTTTTCTTTCATCTAATCCCATTACAGAGCACTTTCCCGACATCCTCCCCCAAGTTTCTGGACACCGCCAACGCCACAACATGCACGTTGGATCGAATTTGATAACTTAGTGCGCCCCATCTCCCTCACTTCTCTTTGAATTCTCTAATGTCTCTACGACCATCATCCTCTATGTTGATCCGTTGCAGCCCCGCCTTCCCGAACGTTTGTGTCTAAATCGCCTGGCGCCTCTGCATTTTTCAATGGTGGTGTACAGTTAACTTGGTGAGTCCCATCTCCTCCAATGTCATTTCCTTTCGTCTAATACCTTCACAGGCATCATCCTGCGGTACTACATCGCATTACGCCGCATTCTCAATGTTGTCGCGGCGCCTTCCGACTTATGCCTTCAAGGTGGCATATCCTACCTTTTTGACTTGGTGAGTCCCGTCTTCCCCACTTCTTATATTTCGTTCATTCCTTTACAGATGACTTCCTAGCATCCTCGCGGGGTTCTATACAAGGACGACGTTGTTACCCCTCCCTGACGCCCCCCGCTTTTCGACTTCGAGGCACGGTGAATCCCATCTCCCCCACCATGATTTCGTTTTGTCTAATTCCTTCCGAGACCCTTGCATGGGATCCTCCCTCCAATTTCAATTTATATGGCATCCCTAACATTGTTGCGCGTGTTTAGACTGTGTGTAATCGCCCCTAGACACAATATACAATATATGCGTTCAACGTCTCCGGCGCGTCGAGCGCGCGTGGAAACGCGCGTTCGACGCGTCCAGTTGAAGAGCACAAGATGACGCGCTACCGGATTCAGGAAGCGGTTTTTACGCTTCCTCGCGTCATCACTATCCAAGGACCGATTATCAGGTAAGCTGTGTTGCGGATCACATATCGCGATCCGGAGTTTATAATTACAAGTTCAGCGCCCGGATAATTATAATCTACCTGGAGAACAATACGCGGTCTACCATCTCGGAACATGTTTGGCTGGAACGCAGATGTTCCCTAGGCAGTCGCATTTTGAAAGTTCTTCGATGAATTCTGACCGGTCTCTATGGAATATTATCGGGTGCGTTCGCTGAATACACCTGGTTTCGTCCTTTTGATTTTGTCTCCGCTATTTTTTTTGCCTCATAGATGTCCTCCCGGCATACTCCCTCTGGTTTCGGGAGATATATGTGCGATCTTTCGACCTCCACGATCTTTTCGACAATCTTCTCGACCGGTACCTCCACCCTCTTCTTCACAATCCTCTCGACAATCTTCTCGACCGGCACCTCGACGATTCTATTCACCGGTACCTCCACCCGCTTCTCGACAATTTTCTCCACCGGTATCTCAACCACGCGCTCCACGACGACCTCCCGCACCTCCGGCGCGGCGATTCGACCACCCCGGCCTCCCCGCCCCATTCGCACGGCCCCTTCCCCGCCCTCGTCTCGGCGAGCGCGCACCACGGGCGCAGGGGAGACAGATGAGTGCCGCAACGGCGACGATATCGACGGCGTACGCGAGAGGTGGTCCCCGAACGTGAACGCGGGGTCCATCCCATTCCCGTCGAACGCGGAGCAGTTACTTTCGTTCGAGGTACGTGACACGATGGTTCTTATGAGTTGACGCTGACGCGCGATCTCGATTTCGCAGCACCGCGATATTCACTTGGCACGCTGCGCCTCGGATCCAAGCCCACTCCCTGCACCGTCGATGCCTTCCGCCGAGTCCAACGCCGCACCTATATCTCTCGAAACTCTATAAAACCTAGGTGCGCAAGTATTGTTCAGTATCATCCAGTATTAATTTCGAATTCCAGTCGCAGCGATTCATGCACCCCACCCCCAAGACCACCCCGCTGTTAGAAGCCCTCAAGGCCGAGAAATCCGCGCAGCGCGCCGCCAAATTGCACGGCAGAACGGTGACAAAGCGAGGAAGGTCACCGCCGGCGCCAACGCCAATGCCGACGGTGCTGGAGGTGGCGACGGCGAAGAAGGCTGCGGAAGTCTTTCCTCGACATCGCACAAACAACAGCTACTCTACGATCGTGGGCTCTGCCGCGACAGCGGGCCTTACTATTACTTATTAACTGTGCTATATTTCGGCGTTCGCCGGTTCGAATGCGGCATGGGATTTGCTTGAACTGATAAGATTCGATAGGTAGTCGGACCGAGCCCCGAGAGCTGCGCAACATCACTGTTGTTGTTTGTTCCGGGCGCCTATTTTGCTCTTGATCTGTAACCACCACCATCGAATGGCTGTATATAGTAATTGTTCCTGTGGTACACATTATCTTATATACCGATAGACCTGTACTTGTTTCTTCTTACACATTGAATAGTGCCGATCCTTTACTGACAACTGTGCATTGAAAAACACCATGTGCGCATAGGTGGCAGAGCAATGTGTGAGCGCCGCTCTAGTAGGCGGTTCCGACCCTGGAACTGCCCAAGAAGCGAGCCCCAGCTCTCTGCGTCGCTGCTTTGCAGAGCGTGACGCGAGACCCCTGGAGAGCTGTAGTGCCGACGCAGACGCCGACATCTACGCGAACACCGTCCAAGACAATTTTACTTACATATTTGTATATCTTGTAAGTACATACTTATCATCTTCTGCCTCTTTGATATTCATTCTGATCTCTTTCCAGGTCTCTTCTCTCCAGACACCGATGCAGGCATGCAGTACTTTCGACCTCAGGGCACTTGGTCTTAGTCTCGGTTTTTGACTTGTTGAGGCGCATCTTACGTCTCCTGGATTCCCTCCGCTCTTCTATTCAACCACCGTGGCGCTCATGCGTCTTGATGGTTGGGTGGAACGGTCGCAATCGCCTGGTGTCTTGCGTTTTCGATCGTAACGCGCCTGATCTGCGCTTTCGACTCGGTGAGTCGCATCTCCCCTACATCTCCTTGGTTCCTCTGATTTATGTACAGACCTCTTCATTTATGTATTCCTTCTGGCGTTCCCATCGCGCCTCAAGCCGTCCGGATCCGATCGCATCTTTGGACTCAGTGAGTTTCACCCTCTCCAATTCTTCTTCTGTTCTCCAATACCTATAAGGAACGCTTCCTCAATATTCTTCCGCCGCCCGCTCGCGCGCCTCAGCCACTCGCCGACGCCGTGTTGAGGTGTTGGATCCGACACTGGGGGCAGGCTATGATCTCCGGGCCCCGCAGATGGCCCGGAGATCGAACGGAAATCAACAATCTCCGTGAGATATTCTGGCCATCTACGGGCCCCGTAGATGGCCGGAATATTCAAAATATTCCGTCGATCTCCGGATAATCTCCGGGCCCCGGAGATCACCCGCAGATCGATTATCTGCGGCCCATCTGCGGCCCATCTGCGGGGTCCGTAGATTCAAAATCTACGGACCCCGCAGATGGGCCGCAGATCTTGAGCCAAACAATCTAGAAAAGGGAATAAATGGTGCTTCTAATATACTTGAATAGGGAATTATGATATAGGTTTCAAACAGTCGATAACTCTCTACGCCAAGCTCTACTAGTACTCCTTGAATCGTTTGCATATTGAGCACAGTACAGAAGTAAATCACAATCAGAAAGTTGCAAGAGTCAAGAAAGACAACGTGGGGTGGGGTAAAGGAGTCAATTTGTCCAAACGAAACCTCGCATCAGCTCGGACCCCAGACGTGCCTTGCTGGCGACTTAGTAATCCACGACGCGATCCCTCGCCTCCTCAACCAGTACGTCCTCGAATACCTTGCTGCTCCCTAGTGTGCATCGGAGGGCCTGCGCGTCTTGGGCTGAGCAAGAGATCCCATGCAAAGATGTCGACACGGCATGCGACGTGCTCAACACATCGCCATCGCCGACCACGTCCTCCAGATCCAGACGCTTTCGAGCCCCGTATCATCGTCGTCGTCCACGCCGGGGCCATGTCGGGGCTCGTCCTGGATCCCGAAGATTGTGCGCGGCAGCTGCGGAAGTAGATAAGTGAACGCAGATTAGGGGAAGAGTGAAGGCGATATGCGGGGAATGCGGATGACGTGGAAGCAAGGAAGGAAACGACATCCGCAGCTCCGCTGCACTGTATGTATGCGCGTAATGCGCCTCCTCCGCGGGCACAAAGTGCCTGCCCGCAGGCGCCGGTGCGGTGTCGTCGTCAGTGGCGCGCAAAACGGGCATTGGATGCGTAAAGCAGCTCGTCCTCCGCCATGTGCGTGTGGCGCACCGTCATGTAAGCAAAATCGGGGCTCATCAACCCACCGTGCACAAAGCTCTCCGGGCTCATCGACCCCACACGCACATAGCAAGCCTTGGGGCTCATGGACCCTCCGCGCGCGTGCGCCACAGGGCTGAGCGAACGGCGCGTATCGTGTGCGAGCGCCGACGTCCCGTTGCGCGTTGTTGAAGGCGGAGGCACGAACGGCCGCAGGGGGGAGCGCGGGCCGTGTGAGTGGTGGGGGTCGAGGTAAAAGAGTCTGCCGCCCTGCACGTCGACGAAGTAGTAGGAAGACGAGGGGCGCCCGCCCGCCATGCCGATTGACTGCGGGAATGAATG